GGGGGGGTATTATTTGACGACCGTGACACGTCGAACCAGGCCAGAGTTAACGCTATCTATTAATACGGGCTATGTCTAGGTAGATGGCTAATGCGCCGTTCCATGGGACAGAGGTCGGGAGGCAACTTTCGAACTGAAAAACTCCGGCATCACCTACGTCACGACTATTGACCTGACATAAAAACAACGTTTTACTCTATTTCCAGTAAATTGAAATCAAAAGCGCGATTGTTTGCTCAACATGCAAGGCCTACGTTTAACACCAAGCACGATACGCACACTGGTCAGATTTTAACAAAAAAAGACCCGGAATCGACGCGTGACCACTTTTGATTGCAATTGTTGCAGCCATAATCTTAAGTTCTTATAATTTGTGCCAGCACTACGGAGGCTATAGATTGTAGCCCAAGTATCTATTCCGTACGAGTTCACTATTAGTACCGGCATTGGGAGTACGATAATGGCTAATATATCATGCAAACAATGTGCCGTACATGTAATTTAAGCCGGATTGATGAATACTTTTCAGGATTGGTGATATGTTCGTGACAGATGATGGATTCAGAATCTGATCCCATGATCTGTCATGAACATACGGATACTTCGTGCTATTACTTCGAACGTAGACTCTGGGCGAATTATTCTAGCCCTCGCTTGGACACTATCTTGTGCGATAGTCCGTATGTACCAAGCAAATGCAAATGCATGCAACCAACACTGAATCGCCAGAGGGGACGAAAGGACATCTCTACTGGTGCGGTGCAGCCATGAGATGACCAACCACGGTGGCTGGAAACGTACCGTGTTAGCTTCGTACTAAATCGGCCACTTGAGTAGAGATATTGCCGAATTTAATCCTCAAGCTGGTTAAACCCGACGATATATCTACTCGGGTGGCCGATTTGGTGCTGTATTCAGCCCATCGCTGTCGCTGACTTACCCTAGTCCAGTGTATGCGGTTGGAGATGAACACCTCGCGTACGGCACCACCATGGAGGTGCCACCATGTACGGAGCGGATTCTTAACGCCGGTATTACCAACTACTTAATAATAGGACGTGGGAAGTATTTGTTGTCGCGTTCCTACGATCCACCGTGGTGGTTATGACAGTATTCCCGGCGCCAATGATCATGATACCACTGGCATAGATTCAATAAGACCGCCAAGTCATTTAGTCCTCAGATCGCGCTAAGCAGACCAACTTACGCCTTTTTTATTCGTGGTGCAATTTGACTAGCGAGCTACGAGATATTGCGCGCAATATCTACTCCCAACTAAGCTCCCAGAACAGCTCTGGATTTGTACAGATTTTTCTTAACCCTTTAGAAGTTATAGAGCAATAATTCTCTAGGTTTTAAATCTAGAGTCTATCTATCCAGGGATCGTACGGGCCAAACATCACATACCTTAAAGAAACCGCTCCATTAAATCTGAAGAGCATGCCAAATCGTATCTGTTACCGAAAAACCTCTTCGATAAATATATAATCTGTGATGTTCACCCATCTGCTCAATATTAGTTGGGCAAATTTCCAACTACCTCAAATAACCATCAGAAATTAAATTGCCGACCATATATTTGTCCGAAAAAAACAGGATAAAAGTAGCCATTATAAGATGTGGCTATTGGTTTTAGGTCTGGCTGGCACTCTGGTCGGCACGAAGGCCACGAGCAACCGCCACTTATCAGTGGTATGTTACCACATATAACTTAAATGCTACTACAGATAAACCTTAAATACAGGCCGTAGAAATTGTTTTGATCAAGTATAGCAAGTTGATCATATTAAGACGGTTGATGTGGTGCACGTTTCTGAAATTTAGTGAGATCCGAACGAAATATTTCACATCTGGAAATATATGGAAATATCTGACGATGTACCAGACTTTCTAAGGTCTCGACTGTGACCCTTTCAGAAGCTGATTTCCGATGAAATCAGCTTAGAATGGACAAGCATGCGATTTTATGTCGATACGTACCATGGATTCTTGCAGTGCGAGTCAAAACTATATACGCACTCGAAAATTGTCGATTCTCTGCTAGTACTGGCAACTTTGCATCAAAATAAACGCTAAAACACTTGATTAAAAATGGTCATACAACCCAGAAAGTCTGACTGGACAAGCAGCAATTTTTGTTTCGCAGTCGAAAATATAATGTAAAGAGGTTGCGTCAAAACTATATGCGCACAATGTAAAATTCTAAATAAGAAAAGATTGCGGAGTTATTTTTGTAAATAGTTGCGCCTACGCAAATGAACGCAAAAAATAACCAGCTGTCTCCTACCGATGCCGCGATGGAAGCTTTTGACTGCGCCGAGTGTGAGCACATCCAAATCTACAAGGAAGACAAACTGAGCAACCGCGAGATAGCTAAACGCCTTAAACGCATTGATGGGGCCATAAGGAACTTCCTCAAGTCTGCAGACGATCGATTATTAGCACGAGAGATGTCAGACAGATTTTTCTACTCGCTGTAAGTCGAATCCTATCTGCAAAGAAAATTGCAGAGCGCTTACCAAGCCGTTCTAGTGGATCCACGGTTATACGAGTGCTACACAAGCATCGCAGTGCCAAGTACTCAAAGTAAAAACCTGCTCCAGCTCTGAAGCCACACCACAAGGTGGCCAGAGTAAAATTTGCGAATAAATTTGCAGAATTTAGCAAATATTGGAGGCGCGTAATGTTTACTGACGAAAAGAAATTCAATTTAGACTGTCCTGACGGGTACCGTTGCTACTGGCACCACACCAGAGTATCGCCCAAGTTGATGTCCAAGCGTGTAAACAGCGGGGGAAGCGTCATGATTTGGGCGAGTGTGTCAATGTACGACAACACTGAGGAAGTTTTCCTGAAGGGAAGGCTGCTAAGCCACAGAAATACTGCGTGAAATGTTGTTACCGTACCTGGACAAACTTCACCTCAAAATGGGCAATTCAGAGCCCATTCTCCAACAGGATAATGCATCGATCCACACCGCAAGACTCACGAAGGTCTATCAACAATGGCGTGGCCTGCCAAGAGCCAAATTTCGAGTGCGAATATAGTTTCAACGCGCACTGTACTACCAGTAGGTAAAACAAAACTTTGATTTTGACCACATTCGACTGGGTTTTATCTATCACCACATTCTATCAAGTTTCAAGCTAGACAGTATTATAAAGGGACTAAACAAAAAGTAGGTCTACCAGTTCGGTGGAACCAAATTCTATCAAATGCGACAGGATATCACGATACACGAGTTCATCTTAGACAGTTTTGCATAATCCCCCCCCCCCAAAAAAAAAAAAAAACACGCATGCAAACAGATCTGAGTTTATCAAGCGCAGAGGACACCAAAATGGAAGAAGTTTGACGTGTGTGGATAAAGGAGGTTACAGTGCAAGGTGAGGTTTACACTGCAGAATACATGCTCCTAATACAAATTTGGGTAATCTGCTAACATTACCATTGTGACTAATAAAACGAAGAAACAAACCGTTTCTGCACGACGCGGTAGGTACCTGTGTGGCGAACACTTGAAAATTTTTCAACAAAGCCACACAGATCCCATGCAAACAAACCAACCTACATGACCACTCCCTTACTACAAAACTACAATTTTAGCGAGTACAATACACAAACGGCCAGTATTTACTTATGGTTTCCACAAGAAACATGGCTCAGCAAATACGTACGGGGACTGTTAATACATTTAATTCTGCGATTATGGTCGATATGACTTGGGATTAATCATTAATTAAAAATACAGTTCTATGTAACGTACATTAAAAATATATAATTGAAAGCGGAGAAACTTACTTGTGAACATCACTGGCGGAATCCCGAGTGGATACATTAATAAACGACAACTTCCTAAGTGGATGTAGGAGATGTAAGAAAGCTTACCGCGTGAGTATGACTTCAATTTTATGAATGCAGTAGATAAAAAGAAGTAGCCCGATATGAGCCTACATATTCACCGCTAACCCTCGTCTCGGAAGATAATTTGCGCAATCCGATGCCATTCCCCGTGCTGTTACAAAATGGATGGCTCATCCAATTCTTGATGCACAGTTGTGTTGACGTGTCTAATAGCATCACGTCCACTCCTCAACACCTTTTATGAGTCCGCTTTGAACTAGCACCGGTGAAAAGAGCCTAGATATTGTCCTTTAAGAATCCATTAAGAAAATCTCTTTTCGACGCTAAGGATTAAGCTGCACAATTCAGCGTCGTGACAATCGTTTGGCAATTCAATCAAGCACCGGGAAGATATGAATATTGCTCTACTACGTGTGGGCAAGATGCTCCAAACCGAAAAAGCGATCACACTAGTATGGAAGTGTTATTGTGTACAACTCATCCGAAACAGCTAAACATTGTGATACTAACACAGGTGTACCAGGAGAACCCTTGATTTCCATTACTTATAGGAGCTTCTACTATTTGTTTACACTAATTAGTAGCTGAGTATCTCGGACTTCAGAGTGTGATCAACGTCTTCCAGTGATAGATTCACATCTCACCAAACCTGAACATGCTTGACCTCTAGCATCCAGTTTCTCTTTCTTTGAGACCTTTGTACACCCTTCCGTTGCGTTGGATCCGCAATGTACGACTCTCACCGATATCAGATAAGACACTCGCAAGTGAGACGATAGCGCGAGGAGCAACAGCGATCAATCATTCCCTACAAAGAACGGCCTTTTGGTGAAGCAATTCTATATTTATTAGTATGGTCCCACCTTCCTTCTGACAATAGCTCCTATGTGAGCCACGCAGACTATCTCCGATGTCGCTACTCTGTATTCTAGTCTGGCAAAGGTGTAAATCCACGACGCGCATGCTGCGATGGCACGGCAAGTGGCCCACAGTACTCTTGACTGTAGCAAAAGCGTTCAGCAGCTACCGACGTAGGTGGAATCCAACCCGCATCGATAAATTTTGACTGTGGTCCACTGCGCTTGAGCTTACTAATCTTCTCATCGAGCACATCGGCAACACGTTTACGCTTTGACAGCGTTATGGTCGCGGTGGAAGGTGTGGTTTGAGAGTCAGCTTGCGAGGTGACTAGGAGACGACTTAACGCTTTTTTCATTTCGCTGCAAAATTGTATCTAAACCAGCTTGGAGTTTAGCAAGACCACTTTCAAAAAGTGGAAATTCGATAATATTTGTGTCGGCCGCCAGATATTTTTAAATACCATCATAATCATCCAGCACAATATCGAAAATGTCACGGACAGCTGCGACTGTAATGTCGTCGCGCTGAAGTGTTCCAGTAATGACATCAAATGCAGTCGTCTCGTCCAGTAAAGCAGCGATTTTGCGCTGCTTGCTCACAGACGGAATTAGATCCACTAACGCAACTCGGCGAAAGTCGGTGGGGCTAGCACCTGCCGGAATATCTCGATCCGCCCCGCAATCGTCTCTGAAAAGATGTAAAGAAGGGCGAACGCCCTCAAATCGCTGTAGCATTTTGTAACAACCGCTCCAGTGGAACTCGTGGAATGGTACGGGCTTGAGATCACAGCCGTTTTGTTTCAGCTTGGCGATCCGCTTCACAGTTTTAAGTTTCCTCATGAGTGCACTCACTATTTTTAATGAGTTTCATGTGCGGGTGCAGACGCTCTCGTACAGCGAGATTGAAACGGTGCGCTGCGCACCCTACAAGAGGGACATGGACTCTCCGAGCGATGGCTTTGTTGGTCTCCATGTTGTCAGCTACGACTGCCACCATGTCGGATATTGGGAGACCTTTTTGACCTAATATCATGTCCAAAAAATCGATATGTTCTGCAGCCGTCATTGAACGTTTATCTTGAAAAGGTGAAAAAACCAAAAAGCATAATCCTTTTTGGTCGCAGCAAAAATTGCAATCGTGCGCTCTGCTGAGTCGGTAAAACCGTCAAAACCAGTACAAACTTTTCACCAGCGATATCTTTGCTAATCTTGATGTCAATAACTCCCACTCGAGCCGTCATCGGTTTGAAAAGTGTTGCCCGATCCATTGCTTTGTAGCGAACGGCCGCGCGGATGACAGGGTCATCCACATGCGCGAAAGGAAAGTTTTTTTTAGCGCAACCAACTTCGCCCATCCGTACGTATCAGCAGCATCTTTACGAACAAACATGCTGCTAATCGGCTGATAGTTTCGCTCCATTCACCCTTCAGCGACAGCTCGTAACGCAGCATGATGCCACTTAAATGATTTATCAGATTCGTGTAGCCTGCATTCTTTTCTGCTTAACCATTTCGTTGCAATGATGCATGTGCGCTCCCTTTTAGCGGGGTTGTTGTAGAGAAGGCGGACGATCTCTGCGTTCTTCATGTCGTGTGGACTGCTTGTGACTGGTCGGCGGTGCTGGGGCCGAATATGAAAATGACGTGGCTGATGCGGACCTGCCTTACGTCTCTGTATGGCGCCAATTTCGTCATTGGCGCCAGCGTAAGCTGCGGGACTTCCTGTGGGCTCGGTTTGAGTTGTCTAATCGGTGGAACCATATATTAGCGGGTTCTATTGGCTCCGGTAACGCGCGAAATTGGATCAATATTAAGATTGTGATTGTAATCTCAACACAATCAATTATTGTGATTGTCAATCTCACAATCACAATCATTATCTTCCACAGCCCTGGTTGGTAAGCGCTCCTTCTTCCTGCCGTCTTTGTTGTTTTGCTTATCCTCTTCACTAGCTCACACACATCCTGGTTAGATCTACGTGTACCGTCGAGCAGAAGAACGGACACTTGGTTTTAGAGTCGGCAAAGTAGTCCAGTCGGGTGATGTTAAGGTCGAGAATCACTCAGTGGGGAGGATGGTGCCCCAGGAAAGGTGCTACTACGAGTGTCGTGACGTCGACAATGACAGCGTGGCGAATCAAGCAGGCTTACGAATCGGTGATCGTGTAGATGGCTACAACGAGTACTATCAACCAGGTCACATAAAGACTCACGTGTGGGGAGACAACACGCTGGACCAGCTGAAGTGTAAGGATGTCGGCACATTGGTAATACTATTTGTCAGCAAGCAAGTGGTGCTTGCGAATGATGAAGAGCAGCGCCACATGAAGAAACGCATGGAGTTTATCTCCTCGCGCAAGGTAATTCGACTTGATGTGGTATTGTGTTATCTGTATTCTCAGTCATGACTAAACTGTCGTACTTTATTTCATGAACAGTCCACCCTGAAGAAACATAATCGCATGGGTGAATTACCTAAGTTCGTCCAGAAGTGGGATATGAACAACAATCTAGTTCTCTCTCCACTTAAACGTTTGAAGCCCCACTTACATGAAGAGGAGAGTGCTACCAGTGAGGACGGCCTGCAACTCTCTACCGAGAAAATGCCAACACCGGATGAAGACAGCTTCGTCAAATTGCTACGAGCATCGCAACCTGAAGAAACGTTAACCGATTTGAATCGGAGCGAAGAACCGCAGACAGCAGATACGATGATGTTACGCACTGACTCGACGACTCAATCAAGCAATTCATTCTCGCGATCATTAGAAAATCTGAGCTGACTCGAGCCACCAAGTATCCTACCTGGGAGAAGTAGCTTTTTGCTCTGCTAAATTTGCCTTATGACGGGGAGACAGTGGCGCACTTGGAATACACAATCTCCCAAGTAAGCAAGATCCGACAAAATCTTAAGCCTAGCACAGTGACGCTAGACACGTGCGTTCAGTGGGTCTTGGACATACTCAAGGTAATTCCGGGGGCAGACAACGGCGCAGTTGCGCTCAACTTCGCGGGCAATTGCTACCGCCAGATCATGGGGGAAACCAAGGTCGGAATTGAGCGAGCCGAGCGAACCACTGGTGCACCTCGCGTTGTGATAAAAGCTTGGCGTGGAGTCAACACCAGCCACTGTGTTACGAGTGTGCATTGATGCGTTTCGTGTACAGTCTGTGAAGTGGAGTCAATGGCACACTGAGTCTCTCGAGCGTGTCCAGATGTTGGAACAAATGCTACTTCGTATCGTTGATAATCAAAAAATCAAAACGGGGAAACAGGAGACCATGCTTCGAGCTACTGAGTGTGGGTTTGAAACCCGGAAGAGAGAGCTGCGTGACGAAGCCGAACAAGTAACCGTTTGTTACGATGATCCTACAGGCAAGTTGCTGCCGTTGGAGACTTGGAGGAATGTGAGCGGATCTGGGGTTTGTGCATGAGCGCACTGAATAGAAATGATAAGATTGAGGGCCTAAAGTCTGCCGTGCTCGACGCAAACAAGAAACTTCTTGCTAGGCAAACAGAGCGCACGGTTGCTGCCGACAATCGCATCTTCTTGGGAGAGCATTCACAATCTGTTCAAATCGGCCCACAAGAAGTACGAGGAACACGCCAAACTTGTGACCGATAAGAGGACAACTGCGCTGCGTGGCATGCACGATTACTATCTTTTCCCCGAGCTTACGCGTGTCGACGCCATACTCATGTACGCGCTTGAAAAGTATTTTGTTTGCTCATTTAAGCTTCAAACTGATGCGCTACACGGTCTTGTCCAAGCGAGACAAGAACAAGAGCAACACGACACCAAGTTTCGAGGATTCATTGTGTTCGATGTTTCTTGCGTTGAGTGCTTTGAAAGCGCTTTGTCTGATGCACAAGAAGAGGACAAAGGTGTGATCGACAAGCAGCGACTGTTGTGGGAAGTTGTCAAACAAACTTTTCCATCCGAGACGCACTGCCTCTTCGGGAATCACGCTTTGGACTAAAAGTTGGGGTCAAACCATTCCACTGCGTGGTCTCTAATTAGGGGACCTCTACAAGAAGCTATTGATGCCACGGCTAACCACAAAGTGGAGGACAACGATGGCAAGATGGAGGTTGATGAGTTTAGTGCTTGCTACTTTTGTGAATGTATACTCATACTATTCGAGGTAAGTCGAGAAAAAATAAATAAATGCATGTATGAACATGATAAGTACTTTTGATACCGCTTTTTTTGCATTTATCGAAAGTCTCTTAATACTGAAAATAAAAAGTAAAACGACTGAATGTACCAGCGTACATGTTCTGCCACTAAAAAGGCATGTCAAGATCGTACGTAATGGCAGACAGTGCTGGCATTCCTTTCCGAGTCCTTCCATCGAACACCTTCAGGGCCGATAATGGAGCGAACCAGACAGGTAAGACTCAACTCACCGCCCCCACTAACTCCTTGTTTACTGCTGTAGCGACGTTGTTACTACAGCATAGACATTGCTTATCGTTCGGCTCGGTACCAACGAAAACATTCTTCATGAGATATTGTACAGAGCTCTGTCTGTGTTCCTTAACATCATGGAACGAAGGCTCCATAAGCGCCCCGGGTAGAGGCGGCCTCTACCCGGGGAACTTTGAGATGCTCGTGTTTCTACGAGCGAATCGCGACCTTTGGAGCTTCACCTCGCTTGTTGGCATTGATGATGCTTAGAATGTAGTTCGCGCACGAGAAACTTGAGAGCTACAACGCCGTCGAAGAAAAAAAAAGGGTTAGACTCCTTATTTTGTATTCGTCCAAATTTAGTTCTATGTTTTCTTTCAGAACCCAACAAAACTGCTGCTCAGGCTGGCTCGTATCTTGCCGTCGCCGGCTATATTTGGTTGGCTAAAAGAACCCAGCTTGCATGGTAGTCGCCAGCCTTCTCTGCAGCAGTGGGCTTCAAACCCAAGCTAGTGGCGTGATAGGGTCAATCTCACACCACTGCCCCGTCCTGACCCTTGCAATACAGCAAAATAATTGAATAATTTATTATTGGTATATTGCAATGATTATTATGTGCTTCTGTGAAGCCCAGTACATTTTTTTTATTTTATTGTAAGAGCACTGTAGAGGCCACTGCATATCGTATGCGTCATAGAGCGCTATGCAAATGAATCTTTAGCATATCCATCTTTCATCTTGTTCATTTTTTTTCACTAAACATTCATGCAATTTATTATAATCCTCAAATTATTTTTCTCCTCGCGCCGCGATCGCATTACACAGGACAAAGATTGGAAAAAAAAAAAAAAATGGCATGCCACTCAAAGTTGTTCGGCTACCAAGTGAGAGAAAGGCGGTTTTCTATTTGAGTCGTATTTTTGTACATCTATAGAATGTTGCTATTAGAAACCTGATGCGGTTCTGAATAGAGTCCGTCATTTGTCTTTTTGATTTTGTAGCGTTGGGCGTGTGATGAACATGCTGGGCCATCCTTGGATGTGCGACCGAACGCGACTTGTGTATTGCTTGTCACCAGCAAGGAGATGGATCTTTTACTCTGTATTGCTTCTCGAATTGGCGAGGTGTTTACACGACTGGAGAGCGCTGAGTTTGGGAAGATCAGCGGAAAGTAGCCAGAAGGTATGGGGGCTGCACACATTACTATGTAGTGTTATTATAAGAAAGAACTTCAAGACATCACCAGAAGACTTTAAAATCTGCATCCTTCGACCTCAACCGACCGCACAGCGTCAGCGCAGCTCATTCACTGTCAAGACGCAAAATTTGACCAGGTAACCTGAACTAGTATTTAGAAATCAAATAATATATGAAGTAAATCCAATTCATTTAAAACACTACGGACCGACCGACTTACGGCATTTTAGCCATAGCAGCGGATAGGCGTCTCACAGCCCTTATCAGCACACTGTCCCCCCTTCTCCAGGTACTTCTGGTGGTAATCCTCCGCATCCCAGAACTGCTTCGCCTCCATGATCTCCGTCACGATAGGCTTAATCAGCGTCTTCTGGTGTTCCTCCTTGGATGCCAGTGCGGCCTTACGTTGATCTTCGCTGTGATAGTAGATTCCCGAGCGGTATTGCGTGCCCTTGTCATTCTTCTGACGGTTGAGTGTGGTTGGGTCATGAATGGCCCAGAACTTGTTCAGTAACGCCTCGTAGCTTGTCTGAGACTCGTCATACACGATGCAGATGGCCTCTGCGTGGTTAGTGCGGCCTGTACACACCTGCCGGTACGTGGGGTTGTCCACATTGCCCTGGGTGTAGCCGACGGTGGTTTCCAA